GGCGCCGAGGGGGCCTCGAAGCACGGCGGCGCCGCCATGCCGAAGTCCAAGCGGGACCGCAAAGGTGAGCGCCCCGACCCTCGTTTTTCCCCTCCGCTTTTCCGTCCTTATCCCCGCACTAACGCGCCCTTCTCTGCTCCCCACAGTTTCCCTAACGCGAACGCCCAGGAAGGGGTTGGAGGCCAAGCAGGCGCTCATCACTGAGGTGAGTGTGGCCCGGCCCGGCGCGCTGCCCCGGTCCCTCTCTCCTGGCTAACCGCTGTCTTACAGCTGCGGCGATGCGTGGACACCTACAAGTATATCTTCGTCTTCTCCGTTGCCAACATGAGAAACAACAAGCTGAAGGACGTCCGGAACGCCTGGAAACACAGCAGGTGAGCCAGGGCACCGGCGGGGGGCGATGCGAGGTGTGAGCGTGGCCTGGGAGCTGACAGCCGCCTCCTCCTCTTCCTCCCGCTGCCCCAGGATCTTCTTCGGGAAGAACAAAGTCATGATGGTGGCGCTGGGACGCGAGCCGAGCAGCGAGTACAAGGAGAATCTGCACAAGGTAGGGGCTGGGGTTTTTTCTGTCTGTACTAAAGCTTCGCCTCGTGTGTGGTCGTTGCATTATGGAGTAATGTTGAGGGATGACAGCTTCCTTGGGCCACCTTTCTGCAGGTGTTTTAATTTAATCCATCTGTATCACTGCACAAAAGCTCTGTTGTTAGCAGAGCTTTTGTAGCTGTGCAGGACGTAACCCTAGAAGACAAGCCCGAGGGTGCTGCCCCAGTCCCACAGATGACTTCTTTCTTTCAGGTCAGCAAACACCTGAGAGGTGAAGTTGGTCTCCTCTTCACTAACCGCACCAAAGACGAGGTGGACGAGTAAGTACGCGTGTGTGGCAGCTGTGGTTTTGAAATGCCGGGCAGCCTTTTTACCACTCGACTACTTCACTTGTTGATGTTTCTCTTAAAGCAGTGATGATCTCGTGAGGCTTTTCTGTGCTCGTCTTTCTCTAGCATCCCTGCAACATCAGGGAAGAAGTTGCGGCAGGCTCTGCTGTAATCCCTTAGCACAAGGGATGTTCTTTCCACAGCTAAAGCTCCCGTTACCCATCTCTGTCTCAGGTGGTTCTCCAAATTCAAAGAGGTGGACTTCGCCCGCGCAGGGAACAAGGCGACGTATGCGGTAAGCCTGGACACGGGGCCCTTGGAGCAGTTCCCCCACTCCATGGAGCCTCAGTTACGGCAGCTGGGATTGCCAACAGCGTTAAAGAAAGGTACGTGAAGCGTCCGCAGAAGGCAAGCTTCGTTTTTCATCTGCGCAGATGAGATCTTTTAAGGGGAACGTCAAATAATCGAGTAGAATTTAGCTTTCGAAAATTTCCAGTGGACAACTTTCTCCTTATATTCTTCTTGTGCCATTCTTCCCAAACTGATGCCAAAGGATGAGTGAAACAACCAACTTTCTACAAGACACTGTCCTTTTTCAGTGGGAACAACTAGGCCTAGCCTAACCCAGCACCTTGGCATCCTGTTCAGAAACCAGATGTGGGGGTTTTTAGGAGTTTATGTCATCCAGCTTCTTGGGGTGTACAAATGTTTGCATGGAAAGGCATAGCTACAAAGTTTGAGAAAGTTTTAGCTCTGCACTCCGCACATTTTGGTGGTCTTATCCAGTATTTGTAAGACTAGTTCAAGAGCTTTTGTTCCTGCAGGAGTGGTGACGCTACTTTCAGATTATGAAGTCTGCAAAGAAGGGGACATTCTCACCCCTGAACAAGCCCGTGTCCTGGTGAGTATCATTGTAGCACAGAGTCTGCACCAGCCCCCATTTCCCCCGATACCAAATAATCAACCGTTCAGTTTAATTCCGCTGAAGTGTGCGAGTTCTCAGACGAAGGTGAGCAGTACTTCTAGGTTTCACTCAGTGGGGTGCAGCAAACATCCTTATGCATTCCTAATGTGAGTGCTAAAACTGCAGCAATCATTTTGGCTCCTGCTTTGTTGCAATTCCCATCTGGAAGCGTTATTTACCATAAGTGTTTTTGCTAGGCTGGGCACAAAGACAATAAAGCAGGATTGAACGATTTGTGGCCTTTCCTAGAAACTCTTTGGCTATGAGATGGCGGAGTTTAAAGTCACCATCAAATTTCTGTGGAATTCTGAGACGGGAGACTTCCAGAAGCTTGTGGGAGACACAGCGGAGGAGGAGGAAGAGGAGGATGACAATGATGACAGCAACAAGGACTAGCAGCAGTAGAACAAGACATTTCTACTCTATTTCAGAGACAAAAAGAGGAAGGTGTTTCCCTTCCCTGTTTGCACCCCGAGGACAAGGACGATCAGCTCAAATATGCTGCTCATAAAAGATGACCTAATTATGCTTTTTTTAATATAAATCTATATGTAAACTTCAGATGGTTGTCGCTGCTGCCTGTTACTCTTTGACTACCCCAGATCTGAGGAAATGCCACCTCAAACATGAAAGCTAGGCAGAAAGCATGCAGCTTAGACACGGCACATCTGACACCAGAGGAGATGCTGAATGTTTGTTCTTAATCTTCTGATAAAAGCTTCAGAAGAAGCCATTTAGCTCAAAGTCACCCAGCCCTGATAAGGAGATGCCAGCCAGGTTGTAGCTACACTTGAGAGATGGGGTCTGTGTTAGAAAAAGGTTTTATTCTTGTATTACGACTTATTTACGATCATATTAAAGCAGAATTGGGGCCATCATCCAGTTATGTGTCCATTTGCCCCGATCAACTGCATCTTTAAATTCTAGTGTGTGCTGCGTAGAGCTGAAGGTCCATGAGGGGAGAAAGAAGGCATGGCCCAATGTGACAAGTGCTGAAGGCGGTAGTGGATCCTTCAAAGCTTCATTAATACATGAAAAAATCTCAACCCATTTGCACGCTGATCAAAGGGGCAGGGTGGGCAAGTACCTCTCCTGTGCTTCAAGAGACTTGTGCTCAATTATCCACCCCCACAACACCCGCGTTTTTGTCCCTACCCTAGTCTCTAGCGGAAATAGTTGGGGCAGTCATGTGCAGTCAGGTTCCAGGCTTTATCAAACGCCTCCACGACAGCTGGGAGCAGGGGACCCTCTTCACTGTAGTCAAGGTTCTGCTCTAGCTGCTCCAAGTTGGACATCCCAATGATCACTGCGTCTCCAAGAGAACCCTGGAAAGCAGTAAGAGGAATTGCTGATCCCAAAAGAAACCTAGTTCACCTCTCAAGCTGCTGCAGGCCAAACTTTCAATGTTTCTTTCGAGTAACTCCTGGATGTTTAAACAACTAACACTACAAAGTCCTGTTTACAAGGCCAGAACATCTCCAAGTCATGATGACTCCTCAAAAGCTGCCAAATCCTACTTCACGAGGGGTATGGGAACGTTGTGGGAAGATGGGGAATATATCATCAATTTTCTAGTGCAGTGAAATGCAAAGTCATCTCGCAGGGAAGATGTCTGGGTGGGAAGCAAAGACCCAAGTAAATGGCACTTAAAATCTTCCACTTGTTCCAGCTCTATTATGAACACAGGGTACCATGCAGAAATGCAGAGCTGGCTCGCTCCTACAGCCTGGCAGGCAGAATCCATACAGCAATATTCACTTTGGAAGGCCACAAGCCCACAGGATATACAGATTAAAACTGTTTGTATGGAGACATTTCCCTGTTCATGTGCCACGACAGTGTTCTGGTGGCATTGTGCAGGCCGCTGGCTGCAGCCACGTCAAGCCCTTACCTGCAGTTTGGAGTGATTGTACAACCAACGCAACGCAGCGGAGGTCAGGCTCGGTGCATTGGAGCCATAAGCATCTTTCAGAGTTCTTTCTACAAGGGCAATTCCTTCAAAATTGTGCTTTTTCCAGTACCTGCAAGAAGAGAAATCACAGTCATTGCCCTTGGGACCTCCAGTGAATGGTAACATCTATATTCCAGTCACGTACGAAGGGCTTTTAGGAAGCCTCATAAAACTCTTCATAGCCTTCAAGGACTTCTGCAAGCCCCTGCTGCAAGCCAGGAGGAAGCTGAGCCTAAAAACCACTCTGCAAAGCTTGGTCACAAGCCACGGCCCCAACCACACGTGCAGACGTAATCACTGCACAAGCTTTAGTCAGTTCTGCTTCCTCTCAGCTAATTATTAGTGTGGGTTTTTTATGTAGCCACTCCTGCCGCATCTCCCGGCTCACCTACCCGCTCAAAACCTACCTGTCCCTGTAGGCTTGAGCCCAGTCATTCCCAAAAAATCTTCCAGTGGGCTGGTGTGTGTCTTTGTCCTCATACTTGTACTTGCCAGTCAACAGCCCTCCTGCAAAGGGTCAGCAGCATGTTTAGAGATGGGCTGGCTGTTCTACAGCCCTTATTTTGCATGTTTTTGTCTCAAAGCCTCACCCTTTCCCTCCTCGTACCTGCAAGCGGATTGTAGGCATAGAACCGCAGTCCGTAGTACCTCAGGCAAGGGAACAGCTCGGCTTCCACCTGGCGAGTGGTTGCGTTGTACATACCCTGCACACAGATGGGGGAGACAAGCTTCAAATGGTAGCTCATGGCAGTGGTCATGAGCACCTGAAGCAGCCTTTTCCCCACCCTTCGCTGACAATACTCTTATCCAGAAGAGCAGCTTCAGGTCACACAAGGTTATTGTCTGCTTAGGAACAGACTTTCTAAAAGATTGCAAATAATGCACAAACTTTTAAGTTCCACATCAAGGGAGTCACTGACAACTTTTAAGTTCCACATCAAGGGAGTCAAACAACAAACACATACTCAGCTTTCTAATCACGCGTGTCTTTAATAAAGACTGGTAGACTTCCCAGACTAATTGCAGCAGCTTCCTTTTCTGTGTTTCTGTCTGGCACACTGGGGGCTGGTGCTAAATTTGGGGCTCCCAGACCCTTCCCCACAGCAACTGACCATTGCTGTAAGGACACAGAGAACCATCTGTATGCTGTTCTGATCTGAACACTCGTATTCTTCTGGTTTGATTCATCTCAGCCTCCACAAAAGATTTGCCCCATCACAGCAAGCCCCCATCCCTCACCTGGTACACAGTTGGCATCACCCAGTTGTTGTATTTGCAGATGGTGCAGATTTCTGCAACCTCCCATGCTGCGTAGTTTGATAGACCAAGTTCTTTGAACTTCCCCTGCAGAGGAATAAAAGGGTATTCAGCTCGTTTTTAAAAGTGCATTTGTATCTAGATGGTGCAAGATGCTTACGGTGAAAAGGAGAGTCACCAAATTTTAGCCCAGAGATCTCTGCCCATTCCTGTCCACCTTTTCTAGATAGACTATGAATTAGAAGACGTGACAAAAACATTTCCTGCTTTCTGTTCATTTGGAATTCACACCTTCTAATTTAAATGTCACTATTAGATTAATGCAATTCAGGAATTCTTCTTCCCCATTACCAGCACTAATCTTAACTTAGTCGGTTAACATGGCTGAAAGCAAAGTTCAGATGTTCTAACGTTTCCAAGAGCTTTTGAGAACAAAGTGCACCACGTGAATGTGCAACAGAGCGTCAGTTGTTTGGCTTTGCCCTCGTCATCTGTGTCGCCTCTCCCTAGTGTTGCACAAACCCGGCACTGCAGAAGGGCACAACAAGCAGCCCTGGTTTAAAAAAGTGGTGGGAGGGAATTAAGAAGTGGTCCAGGCTTGGACTTCCCACTTTACTTCTTTGTGCAGCTCATTGCAGGCACGCAGCGTCTCCTCCACCGGGGTCCCATGGTCAGGAGCATGGAGGTAGAAGAGCTCCACACTCGCCCTCTTCAGCCTCTCCAGGGATGTATCCAGCTGCAATCGCACACTCTCAGGCTTCAGTGTCTTCCCATCCCAGGGATTGGCCTTGGTGGCGACTTCCACTGGCAGAGAAAAAGAAAGAATGAGCAGGGATGTTTCCACCTTCAGGAAGGGAGCAGGGATAAGGGACGTAACCCAATTACTGCTTGAGGTGTTTCAGGGAAGGCCCTTCTCCTCAGGAACCATGTCAGCCTAGCAGGGGAGGCCTTTCTCCTTGGGGACCACAGGTCTGCCCTGGAGAGGCCCTTCTCCTCAAGTCCCAGGGCTCAGCACCAGCAGGGGATTCCCTTCTCCTCAGGGACAGTGTCAGTCTGGCAGGGGAGTCCCTTCTTCTCAGGGAACGGGCCCAGGGGAAGTCCCATCTCCTCAAGGATTGTGTCAGCCTGGCAGGGAAGACCCTTCTCCTCACGGACAGTGTCAGCTTGGCAGGGAAGACCCTTCTCCTCAGGAAACAGGCCCAGGGAAGACCTTTTTCCTCAGAGATGACCCCTCTCCTCAGAGACCGTTCCCCCCTGCCCCACTGCGACCGGCCCTGGCCGTACCGGGCTCCG